CCGTCCAACACAATCAACACCTGTACCCCATGGATCTGACTTCCGGTTGATGGTAGTAAGGTAGAGAGCAATGTGGTGGTTCAGCTCCGGTCCAGAACCAGGCAGCATTGGCAATGAATCGCCTAATCCTTAACCATGTAGCATCGGGAACAGAATACCAGGTCTGTGGTAGGATGAGCGTGTATACACCATCTATACAGGCACATTCTGGAGGAAACTTCATGGTCCAGTACTCCAATGACTAGGAACTGGTATGTGGTAAGGAATCCCATACTCCACTGGAAGGATGTGGTGGGGGGGACGTATTAGAAAGTTTGGAGGATCACAACACCAAAGATTGTGCAATGAGTGACCACAAAACCTTATTTTAGAAAGCAAACCATTCCTGATACAAACAAACCAAGGAGCAGCAGGGATGGGCAGCAATCCCCTTCTGTTTTACTCATGTTGGTTCATGAGTGTCTGGTTCGAGGCAAACATACTTAAGACACAAAATACTGCAAGGAAAACTTACCAGAAGTCTTGTAGATCACCCCATCTTAACAGTGGGTGATTTTGACCCGAATGATCATACAGTGCAGATTTAAGAATAAGTATACCTGATCAGGCAACACTTGTCACTGACCTGAATCCATATATGTGAGAAAAGCCTCTGTAAAAAAGAATAGTATAAAAAGAGCACCTACCAACTCTTAGAGAAATCTTGAAACTTAAGATGGCAACAGGAGATAGATGGTAACCTGTAAAGCAGGAAACAGCTGGATGATGCAGATATATGTATGAGGAGTGGTCCACAAATTATATCCTCTAAAAGAATGACAGAATCGGGAAGCCAGGGACAAGGTAAGGTGACACGTTTGAAGGGAGGAGGTGACAAACATTGAGAGAATTGGAAGAATAAGCCAGATGGATGAATTCAACCCGTAAGGGTAACAGGAGAAATATCACACGAAAAGGGTAAGGCTCCAATTAATGAACAAATATGAATGGAATCCACAGAACGAAGCAGTGCAAGCTACGTAACAGCAGAGAGCCCAGACAGGATATAAGAGGCGATCTGGATCAGAATGAAGATAATGGTGAGAAATGTTATGTGTAGCCAAAGTTCTAGGCAGGAAAGATTGATCTGGGTAGAAAATGACATAGAACCTGTGATATAATGTGTGAAAGACAGCGAGAACAACCAAATCTGAATGACGATGCCCACACATTAAGAGAAGGAGGGAAAAGGTCTATGGAGTGTTGATATAAGAAACAAGAAGATATGATATTGAAGGGAGGGAGGGTGAGGGTATGGAGGACAACATTGAGGTTCCAATTAGGGAGGGTAGTTTAACATAGGGGATGGCAAAGACAGAAGGTATGAAACAAAAAAGGGTGGGGGCTGGAGAAGTGAAGACACAGCAAAGTCTTGTGAAACACAATAGCCAGCAACAGTTGATACTGACAGCTCCTTGTCAAAAAGCCAGGTAGAAGAAAGTGAGGTGCAGGAGAGTAGGATGGAATGGAATAAAACCATCACAAGAAGATCAACAACAGTTGACATACCACTTATATTGGTAAACTGACATAGAGGAAGGGTGCACGGAATGGGAAGTTAGGGAAGCAAGCCATTTGGATAGTCTGGCTCGTCTGACAAAAGCCACATGTGAAGATTGAGCATGGGAAGGGAAGGATATAGTGCACTCAACTGAGGAGGGTGGGTAAGAGGAGGTGTCAGGAAGATCAAGCACAAAAGTGAAAACCACAGCTTCACTGGCAAAAGTGGTGGCATCTAGAGGATTTAACATGAAGTAGCTTGTATGACTGTGAGGAAATGAGGTAGGATGGATGGGAGGATATGTATAAATGCAACAAACCCCCTCTCCCAATCCTGAATGAGAGCACTGACAGCTGCAGCCAAAGGATAATGAACCAAAGACCAAAACATGGGAAGTTTGGATTTCAGGTGGGTGGAAATTGCATCAAGTTCTGAAGTAATCCACTGTGAACACAGTCAACCAAACACCTGTAAGTCAAGGTACCATTTCATGGGAGAATCTTCTTGGGGCAAAATAAATTATCTGTGACCAAAGCATGCCCAAACAGAAGAGCTCAAAACTGATAGACACAACCCTAATGGACAAAATGCCATGGTGCTGGGGAGATGGGAATGTAGAACTAAGCATTGGAAATATCTACCTTCATCATCCACACACCAGGAGTGAAAACCCACCAAAGAGATAGGTTTGACTCCATGGGGAATCAAGAAAGGTCTAGGAAGCAGTTCAAGGAAGAAAGAATGATGATGGGATGTCAGTCACCAGTCTTCTTGGGGACCACAGACAAACAGAAATAGAAACCTGACAGAGAAGGATCCACCTGTTCCACAGCACCCTTGTAAAGAAGATCCGGAACCACCTTGGACAGATGCTAGCTGGAAATTGGATCCCGAAGAGGTGGGGGGAGAAGACAGTATGAGGGGGAAAAAAAATCAAAGAATGAGCCCTTTGGAGAGAACCCACATAACCCAAAGGTCTTTGGTGAAAGACTCCCACACAGTGGCAAAGCACAAAAGCCTGGCATCCACTGAATCTGTACCTACCACATAGTTACTGGGACTGCCAGGGATACTGAGGTTGATGAAAAACCAACAAATAACCTCAGAGACCCATGTAGCAGGAACTGGTAAAGGAGAGAAGGATGAGACAAAAGGGAAGCCAATGAGGAAAGGGAGGTGTGTAAATGGGCCTACTCAACTCTGGACTCTAATAGCATATAGATTGGAGTCAAATCATGAAAAAGAAAGGATTTTGGAAACTGTTCAAGATGGTTTTCTTCGCCAATTGGTCAAGAAACTTACTAGAAGCAATGCTATTTTCAATTTATTTTTAACATTTAATACAGAAATGGTTGAGAAGGTGGAAACTGAGGAACATCTGAGTGCAAGTGATCACTGCTCTATTAGGTTTGATGTTTTGCTGCAAATGAAGATAAGGAATAATGATATTTTTGTTACGAATTTCAAAAACAAATTTTGAAGGGATACAACAAGAATTATCTGTTGTGAATTGGGCAGTCGAGTTATTTGGAAACACTGATCAAATGTGAAAAACTTTTAAAGATCAATTTTTAAATATCCAAGATAAACATTATTTCTAGAAAGAAAATGGTGGCTTTAAGTAAAAACCAAGATGGCTCACAAAGAATACAAGGGATAAAATTAAAGTATTACAAATTTAAGAAATCTAAATTGACTGATATGACAGAAGATTATAGAAGATCAAGAAAGTTGGTCAAACAGGAAATTAGGGCATCAGAAAGGATACAAGAAAACTGATAGGCTGAAAATGTAAAAATTTGCAGTAAGGTTTCCTGTAAAATACATTAAAGGTAAACAAAATGTTAGGATGGGGGTAGGACCTTTGAGGAACCTCTGAGGGTTATGAAATGGCTGGATTATTAAATTTTACTTTTTCTTCAGTTTTTACTAATGAAAATTTAAGCAATATTCTTCATTTTGAGTAGTTGATAATGGTAACAAGATCAAACAAGATGATCACATTAACTCTGATGAGTATGTCAAGAAACGGTAAGCTGTTTTGTTTCTCTATTTATATAGTGAACTGGATTTTTTTTTTACTAGGAAATTGAGATGTTCAAGGAAGGCTGGTAAGTTTTTATGACTAGTGTACTCAACAGTATAATAGTAGTAGTGTTTGCTACATACATATGCATTTTATATAAAGCAATAATGCTAATTTATGTGAACCAAATCTTCAACATTTGAATATACACATTAACACTTAACAGCCACTACTCTTAACAGAAAAAAAAAAAAGACTCCATTCAAGATTGTCTTGAAAACATTTTTTTTTAGATTGGAATGCAATCAAAAAAGTACCTTTTAAATTCATGTTTTCAAAAAACTAACAGTGGCCCACAGAACTGGTTGTCTTGTGACTTTTGTGTTCTAATGCCATGCCTTTAGAAGAATGTGCAGAGGCATGTTTATAAGAATGGTACAAGATTCCATTCTGCACATTCTACCCTGAAACATTGCAAGACATCTACATAATGATTGATACAGTCCATTTAACTCTGATGGTGTTATTCCTGACACAGAAGACCCTACCCCAGTCCTGGTTGTCAACTTACTGTCTGTATTGATGTCACCCAGATGCATTGGGGATATCCCATCTACCAAACAAATCCAAAATCTAGTCAGCCATCATGGGAAATCCTAAAAGATTATATGAGGGTACAAAGCTGAGTGCTTACACCTACAACATCTCAGCTTCTACTGCCTTTTACTGTCTATAGCCAGTTGTATGAAGGCAGTTACCATTAAAATTCTTAAAGTAGAAATGAACTGAAATGAAGCCACCCAAATATTTCTACTAATTAAACTCCCAACCTCTACCCTTACAAAATATATTAAATAGAACTATAAAATACTGAATAGAACTATAAGATACTAATAGAGCTAAATAGAACTATACACCCTACCTTCTTATATATTTTTTATTTTCAACCTCCTCCCTTTCTCCTGTACATTTATTCCAGTATAACAAGGAAATGCTGAGAAAAGCCCAGCTACTTGAGGTTAGTCTTTCCGTCCCAGTTATACTAAATAAAATTACTTGAAAAATTGCTATTAGCTACTTATAAGTTAAAGTAACTAACTCCCTCTTTATTTTATTTATTTTTATATCTTCCTAGTTTCTATAGTTTAGTTTCCAAAATATTTTTGTATTTATTAAAAAAATAAAGTAAGGTATTTCTTTAATTGCCTGGCTTTATAGCCGTTATCTTTCAGTTCATTTGTTAGTAATAGAACATTATCCATAAAAAATTAGTTATTAATAACTAATATATATATATATATATACGACACACACAACTATAATCTTCACGAATTGTCCTTTCTGCAGAGGCCTTAAATTCCATAAATCCTATATGTGTTTCCTGTTGTCTTATTTATTCTCAGCTGATCACACAATGTTCATATATTCTACAAAGCAAGGAATCTATAAATCCTGTAGCTATTTTTCAGATTTCATAATAGATGATTTAAATTAGATTGTTCCACTTTGACTTTCAGTCTGTAATAACATTAATACTGTATACAAATTATTGGTTACAAATCTTATATTAGAATCATAATATTTTAATGATAATAAGACATTCTTGTTACCTTGAGATCAGACGGTGCTACTATAGCGTGAGGTCTACCACCATATGTCGCCTATAGTATGAGGTCTACCGCTGCATTATCCATCCCTCATGGATATCACACATTTCCATACATTTATTTTAGCGATAAACACTTAATTTGATACATTTTTATACAT